CCCATCAGGGTGCCCCCTTACACCAGATATTCCCATCAGGGTGCCCCCTTACACCAGATATTCCCATCAGGGTGCCCCCTTACATCAGATATTCCCATCAGGGTGCCCCCTTACATCAGATATTCCCATCAGGGTGCCCCCTTACATCAGGTTCCCCGACTTTTTTGTATACTGCACCCCCAGATCAGATGGCTCATCTTCCAGGACCGTATCCAGCCTAAGTGCAGCTGACATTCCTCCATATTTCGGTGGCATTCCCTGCTGAAGTCGGACCCATCACTACTACAAGGGGGGAGCACACCTGAGGCTCCATCTACTCAATGAGGTAGCTGGAGGAGTCCCCCCGCCAGGACTTTGTACTCTGACAGTGGCGGGTGCAGCTGATGGATAGGAAATGTTCCAACACGTCCCTTCAACTGGTTGATTACATAATCGACTTCTGTCAAGTAGGGAAGTCCTCAGACCGATCAAAGTCTGGCCTCTCCCTGCTGGACTGCTGGCTGAACAAAAAACGATGCCGATTTCCCCATCAACACATTGAAGGTGGACGGCCAAATCCTCCGCTTTGTCATTGTATTGGGACTCCCCCGCCATTAGAATACGCTGATCAGTTCTGCAGCCCATTGGCTGGATGTGATGACGGCATATTTTCCAACAAACCCGTTAATGAAAAGTCAGTTGATAGATCGCCTTCTCATGAACGGGAATGGCCATACATGGATCGAAATTCAAGTCGTTTCTGCTGAACCCACCAAACCTCAAACCATGTATGGCCAGCTTAGGTCAGTGGCCTCCTCTGGCCTTAGATGGGAGCCTCAGCTGGGCCAATGAATAAATGTTCCCTGTAAAGAGAACCAGTCACCAATGGGCCCCTGTAACAATCCTGATCTCCACTCTTAGTCCAGCTATTTCAGGTGTGTTATTACTTACTTGTATTCTCTCCCTGTCAGAGCAAAATGTTTAGGCCGCATGGCCTCTCTGGCTGAGCTCAATGGTGACAACAGAAACAAAGAAAAAATCTTGTCATATAACATAAAGTGCTACAAGAGCAAAAAAATAAAAAAATAAATAAAACAAAAACACATTTTTATTCTCCTCCAGCAACCCAGACAGAGCAGTAATTATCAAACCTGAGCCACAGTAAGAGACGTTTCAGCCTCCATGGGGGGCCCTATAGGCAGGCATTGCTGCTCTAATGGGGAAACAATACAAGTTATAAAAGTAACATACATACCATTCCATAAGACATTGGTCTCCAAACCGGGGCCCACAGGCCAGTGCTGCCCATTGCTAGCTTTTATCCAGTTATTGGGGAACTATTCCTTCCACTGACACCAATGATGGGGCACTATTCCTCCCACTGACACCAATGATGGGGCACTATTCCTCCCACTGACACCAATGATGGGGCACTATTCCTCCCACTGACACCAATGATGGGGCACTATTCCTCCCACTGACACCAATGATGGGGCACTATTCCTCCCACTGACACCAATGATGGGGCACTATTCCTCCCACTGACACCAATGATGGGACACTATTCCTCCCACTGACATCAATGATGGGGCACTATTCCTCCCACTGACGCCAAAGATGGGACACTATTCCTCCCACTGACGCTAGTGATGGGGCACTATTCCTTCCACTGACACCAATGATGGGGCACTATTCCTCCCACTGACACCAATGATGGGGCACTATTCCTCCCACTAATACCAATGATGGGGCACTATTCCTCCCACTGACACCAATGATGGGGCACTATTCCTCCCACTGACACCAATGATTGGGCACTATTCCTCCCACTGACACCAATGATGGGGCACTATTCCTCCCACTGATACCAATGATGGGGCACTATTCCTCCCACTGACACCAATAATGGGGCACTGCTCCTCCCACTGACACCAATGATGGGGCACTATTCCTCCCACTGGCACCAATGATGGGGCACTATTCCTCCCACTGACACCAATGATGGGGCTCTAGTCCTCCCACTGACACCAATGATGGGACTCTATTCCTCCCACTGACACCAATGATGGGGCACTATTCCTCCCACTGACACCAATGATGGGACACTATTCCTCCCACTGACACCAATGATGGGGCACTATTGCTCCCACTGACACCGATGATGGGGCACTATTCCTCCCACTGACACCAATGATGGGGCACTATTCCTCCCACCGACACCAATGATGGGGCACTATTCCTCCCACTGATACCAATGATGGGGCACTATTCCTCCCACTGACACCAATGATGGGACACTATTCCTCCCACTGACACCAACAATGGGGTACTATTACTTCTCCTACTGACCACACTATGTAACTGACCACCAACCCATGAAGCCATGTTTATTCTCACTGATGCTGGACCCTGGAATGTTTCTACCCCCACTGGCCACAATCAGCCCCCCTAATGTCTGAAGGACAGTACACTGGGTCTTTGTTTGATAAGTCTTGAGGCCCCCGCCATAAGAGATAATGCTTCACTTTATGACAACATAGGGGCTTGTTGAACCTTTTATCATGTCAGGGGGGTTTTACATTCCTATACAAGATACAGGAGGGAAAACCCCACATGAAGCAGGTACAGGAAGACGTCAACTGCAGGACAGATAGAATGGACATTGAAATCTGAATGAGCTCTCAAGCATTTCAAACTGAAGCCATCAACAGGAGCTCCGAACTCCTCAGCAGAGGTCCTACAAGTAGAATTTCCGGCTCTTACAAATGGCCATTCCAGCCTGGTGCTGGCCCTTGAAAGTGGTATCAAAGCTCAGTTCACATGTGCATTTAAAGGGCCGTGTGGTGTGGCACACCGCAAAGACTTTGTGCAATGTTCAGGCAGTAGGCACTCACAAAAGACCCTTCCCTTACCCAATTAGGAGAGTGATTGGACAACCAATGGCACGTTGTCAGAACAACATGCTTTTCAGAATTTACCAGCCATCTGAACCCAACCTCACCATCCACCCTGCAGTCCCTCATTGCCCTGTGAATCCAGCCTCAGTATCCACTTCATGGTCCCTCACTGCCATGTGAATCCAGTCTTAGCATCCACCCCATGGTTCATCAATGCCATGTGATTTCAGCCTCAGCATCTACCCAATGGTCCCTTACTGCTGGGTGAATCCAGCCTTAGCTTCCACTTTGTGGTCCCTCATTGCCAGGTGAATCCAGCCTCAGCATCCATCCTACGGTCCCTCATTGTGAATCCAGCCTCAGCATCCATCCTACGGTCCCTCATTGTGAATCCAGCCTCAGTATCCACTTCATGGTCCCTCACTCCCATGTGAATCCAGTCTTAGCATCCACCCCATGGTTCATCAATGCCATGTGATTCCAGCCTCAGCATCCACCCAATGGTCCCTTACTGCATCCATCCTACGGTAACTCATTGTGAATCCAGCCTTAGCATCCACTTCATGGTCCCCCACTGTGAATCCAGCCTCAGCAACCACCCCATGGTCCCTCACTGCCATGTAAATCCAGTCTTAGCATCCACTTCATGGTCCCTCACTTCCATGTGATTCCAGCCTCAGCATCCACGCAAGGGTCCCTTACTGCTGGGTGAATCCAGCCTTAGCTTCCACTTCGTGGTCCCTCATTGCTGGGTGAATTCAGCCTCAGCATCCATCCTACGGTCCCTCACTGTGAATCCAGCCTCAGCAACCACACCATGGCTCTTCAGTGCTGTCTCAACATTCATCCCATGGTCCCTCACTGCCATGTAAATCCACTCTTAGCATCCAGCCCATGGTTCACATATGCCATGTAATTCCAGCCTCAGCATCCACCCCACGGTCCCTCTTTATCAGGTGAATCCAGCCTCAGCAACCACCCCATGGCTCTTCAGTGCTGTGTGAACCCAGTCTCAACATTCACCCCGCAGTTGCTCACTGCCAGGTGAATCCAGCCTCAGCATTCATCCTACGGTCCCTCACTGTGAATCCAGCCTCAGCATCCATCCTACGGTCCCTCACTGTGACTCCAGCCTCAGCATCCATCCTACGGTCCCTCACTGTGACTCCAGCCTCAGCATCCATCCTACGGTCCCTCACTGTGAATGCAGCCTCAGCATCCATCCTACGGTCCCTCAGTGTGACTCCAGCCTCAGCATCCATCCTACGGTCCCTCACTGTGACTCCAGCCTCAGCATCCATCCTACGGTCCCTCACTGTGAATGCAGCCTCAGCAACCACCCCATGGTCCCTCACTGTGAATGCAGCCTCAGCAACCACCCCATGGTCCCTCACTGTGAATGCAGCCTCAGCAACCACCCCATGGTCCCTCACTGTGAATGCAGCCTCAGCATCCATCCTACGGTCCCTCACTGTGAATGCAGCCTCAGCATCCATCCTACGGTCCCTCACTGTGAATGCAGCCTCAGCAACCACCCCATGGTCCCTCACTGTCCTGTTTTATATATAGTCTCGGCCCATGAAACAGAAGATGTCATACAGAGCGCTCTTCAGAAACCTCCTTATTCTAATAACTATTACCTAAAAAAAAAAAAAAATAAAACTTTCTCCACTTTAAATTTTTATGTTTAGAAAAATATCAGATTAAAAAAAAAAAAAATATTGATAAACATTTTCCATGAAATGTATAAAAATAGAAATGCCAGTCACAATCCAACGTGGTTTCCTAAGTGCCGCCCGGACCCGCCATCAGCAGCCGGGGTCATTTGGTGGGTCCGGCGGCCGACTCGCTAGAGATTCTGTTCATCTAATCTTCACACACAGGAAGGAAGGAAGACCCGTCACCTTGAAATAAAGTTCCCTCAAAGTTTTCTGTTGGCTCTCAGGTTGGCTTTGCCCGTCCAGACCCCGTCGCAGCCAGTAGATCCGTGAAAATAGACCGGGAAATAAATAGACCGAATCTGCAATAAATAGTCACACTAAACAACGTTCCGCTTGTCTCAGCGTGCGTCACGCACAAGATGGAGGCTGGAATCCGCGGTAAAGGTGGTCATTGGAGGTCTTGATGGTCTCAGCGCTGCCCCCTTCACGACTTTGTAGTTACTCGAGGGATGAGGAATTGCTGGGAAGTCGATGTCCTGCAAAGAGGGGAAAAACATCAATTATTCGGCTGAAAGAAGAAGAAATGATAATCAGAGCAAATACTGGCACCAAGTCCGGAACAGTCTGGTGGTGGGTGACGATGGTTGGGGTGACTTTAACTGGGGGGTCCGTATGGCACTAAGGGCAAGCTCCAAACAGTACTGTAGCAGACTCTGTGTTAATGAGAGAAGGAGAAGATGGAACGCACGCAGGAGCGCAACGTCGGCGTGATGACGTCAGTGGACCAAAATGCAATGCGATGCGTTTCGGAGCATGCGCTGGCCTGAAGTGGCGGAAGGGCGCTCCTTTGTCAAGCAGCTCGACAAAGGAGCGCGCTTCCGCCACTTCGGGCCAGCGCATGCTCCGAAATGTGTCAAGCAGCTCGACAAAGGAGCGCGCTTCCGCTACTTCGGGCCAGCGCATGCTCCGTGACGCATCAAGCAGCTCGACAAAGGAGCGCGCTTCCGCCACTTCGGGCCAGCGCATGCTGCGAGACGCGTCAAGCAGCTCGACAAAGGAGCGCGATTCCGCTACTTCGGGCCAGCGCATGCTCCGAGACGTGTCAAGCAGCTCAACAAAGGAGCGCGCTAACGCCACTTCGGGCCAGCGCATGCTCTGAAATGCTTCACGTTGCATCTTGGTCCACTGACGTCATCACGCCCATGCCGACGTTGCGCTCCAGCGTGCATTCCATCTGGCATTGAGGAGTACGTGCACGCCAGCCGGCTGCACAGCTGTCTCCCTCCAGCCACCACGCTGCTCCAGCGGGACGCTGCACTTAGAGGTGCTTCTTCTTTTCTCATCAATTATTCAGTTTTTCTCACCTATCCCTAAAAAAGAACCCCGCCGAATACATCTGAACCGAGAATATAACACCCTCATCCTTATTTAGCCAGTGAAGTCCTGCATCCTGGTCCCCAGTCACTTGCGTACTGATGCAAATATCAGAATGGGAGGGCGTAGCCCACCCCCAGCACCCCCCTAGATCCAGTCATGGTGTCAGCTGCAGGGCTACAAGATCCTGCATGACCTGCCCGATCCCCGGCTGACCGTTGTCACTGCTGGCTCGCAGGGCATGCTGGGAATTGTAGTTGAACAAAACCAGAATCTCTAGCAGTAGCCCCTCCCCCTCCCATGTCTGCTCAGTCCTGTCACCGCGGGAAGGAAGAGAACAATGGCGGACTATCGCTGAGAAAACTTACATTTCCAGATGGTCATTCGGGGCGCTGAAAGAGAAGAAAGAAAGACGTCATTACGCCGCTCGGGACCAACTCAGAAAGCAAAGTCTTGGTTTGTGATTCTCATAATGCGGTCAGTAAAGAATACATGTGTGTAGTGCGAGGAGCATGCTGACAGGAGGAGAGAGCAGAGTGACAGGGATGAACTCATACGTCTACCGCTTCTCTTTCACTGTCCAATCACAGGCTGGGGGGAGGGACAAGACCTGTAAGCGTCATTATACTGCAGCAGAGGAGAAAAAAAATTGCATCTCCTCTGCCACACAAGCCTTAAGTTGTCATGCGATTTGAGCACTCAAGTTGCACTCTATTGTCATCAATGGAACCGTCAGAGTCGCCCCGATTTTGGCAGTAGTTCCTGCACTATTTTCCTCGATTTCAGGTGCGACTAGCATTGACAGCAGCGCACGAAGTCGCACAGAGGCACATGAAATGATCCGTCGCTTTGAAATCGTGCTACGTCAAGTAAAGGAGAACAATTCAATGTCGCATTCAGTGTGAACCCGGGCTGACCCTGACATGCCACTCTAGACACAGAAAGGTTCCTGCGCTACTTTGATGCAACTTCAATGCTCCTCGAGTACCAGAGAGTGTAAAGTCGCATCAAAGTTGAACAACATGAACAGAACTGTCATACTTTCCTATTAGCCCCCCCCCAAAAAAAATGCAAAGCACGCCGTATTGTGCGACTATGGACAAGTCGCATCAAAATCGCATCAAAGTTGCACTACACGAACAGAATACTTTCCTACTAGCCAAATAAAAAAGCGAAACGCGTCAAAAACACAACGCGTGTTCAAAAATGCAAAGCGCGCCGTTTTGTGCGACTATGGACACATTAAGGTTCCTGCACTACTTTAATGCGACTTCGATGCTCCTCGAGCACCAGGGAATGTAAAGTCGCATCAAAGTCGCGCTACATGAACAGAACACTTTCCTACAAGCCAAATAAAAAAAGTGAAACGCGCCAAAAGCACAACGCGTGTTCAAAAATGCAAAGCGCATCGCAAAACGTGCTGGAAAAACGCATTGACCGAAAACCTACATAGATGTGAACCGGAGCTCAATCTCAGACCCGGATGGACAGGAGTAGCAGCTTCCATCTGTGTATGGTGTGTGGTGATTGGTCAGGAGTCTGGCTCAGGCGATTGGTCGGGAGTCATCCTCAGGCGATTGGTCGGGGGTCATCCTCAGGCGATTGGTCGGGGGGTCATCCTCAGGCGATTGGTCGGGGGTCATCCTCAGGCGATTGGTCGGGGGGTCATCCTCAGGCGATTGGTCGGGGGTCATCCTCAGGTGATTGGTCGGGGTCATCCTAAGACAATTGGTCGGGAGTCTGGCTAAGGCGATTGGTCGGGAATCTGGTTTTAGGCGATTGGTCGGGAGTCTGGCTCAGGCGATTGGTCGGGAGTCTGGCTAAGGCGATTGGTCGGGGGAGTCTGGCTCAGGCGATTGGTCGGGGGTCATCCTCAGGCGATTGGTCGGGAGTCTGGCTCAGGCGATTGGTCGGGAGTCTGGCTCAGGCGATTGGTCGGGAGTCTGGCTCAGGCGATTGGTCGGGAGTCTGGCTCAGGCGATTGGTCGGGAGTCTGGCTCAGGCGATTGGTCGGGAGTCTGGCTCAGGCGATTGGTCGGGAGTCTGGCTAAGGCGATTGGTCGGGAATCTGGTTTAGGCGATTGGTCGGGGGTCATCCTCAGGCAATTGGTCAGTCGAGAGTCTGGCTCAGGTGATTGGTCGGGAGTCGTCCTCAGGCGATTGGTCGGGAGTCTGGCTCAGGTGATTGGTCGGGAGTCTGGCTCAGGTGATTGATGGATGTCGGTGGAGAATCTTACTCGTAGACGTCGGAGGTTTTCATCCTGCGGTAGTATTTGGCCAACTTCACAGACAGGATGATGCTGGGGATGAAGAAGATGGTGCACCAGCCGAGGCTGAACCAATACGCATTCTGGAATCGAGAGAACATCCACAGATGAAGAGACCACATTTTATGCCACGTTTTGTTTACAAGTTTAATTCCGTATTTTTTTTTTGCTAGAAAATGACTTCTAACCCCCAAATATTATATATTTTTTAATTTAGCAAAGACCCCAGAGAATGAAACGGCGATCGTTGAAAACTTTTTTTTTTCGGCTGTTTATTTTTTTTTTTTTTCTAAAAATACACTTAAATGAATAAAAAAATTTTTTTTTTTATATAAATATAATATATATATAAATAATATAATTATATAAATAAAAAAAAAACAAAACACAATATATGCCGCAAGTTTTTATATATCGACTGCATGTCGAAATGTGTTTTTTATATATTATAAAATATATGAAAAATATTTTTACAAATATATATTTTTTAAATATATTCTTCAGATTTTTTTTAACATATAAAAAAGTCAATTTAACATATCGTATATATTCACATATATTTGTAAATGCATTAAAAAAATGGAGATATGTATTTTTAAAGACATACAGTATATTTGGAAATGTATTTTTAAAAATATTTTTCATATATTTTGTAATAAAAATGTATTTCAACATACAGTGTATATATATATATATTTATTGAAATATATTGAATGCGGCCAAAATTGTAGTATTTCAAATATATGTCAAATATATTTTTTAAAATATATGTCTTCTTCCATGTGGGGGGGGGGGGGATTCTTTACTCACGTATGCGTTCACTTCAGCGTGCGAGCACGGAAGGATGAGGAGCAATTCAATTTTTTTTTTTTCTTATTTATTTTATTTTTACACAGTCCCTTTTATTTTTTTTCTATCACTTTTTTTATTCCTATTACAAGGAACGTAAACATCCCTTGTAACAGAAATAAGCGTGACAGGTCCTCTTTAAAGCAGAGATCTGTGATCAAAAAAGACCCCAAATCTCTCCTTTACCATCAAGCGCAAACGATCGAAAAAAAACTTTTTTTTTAACCTTTTGCTTTAAAAAAGAAAAAAAAAAATATTTACATCTGTCTCGGAACCGGAAGTGACGTCATGACGTCACTCTGGTCCTCCAACACCATGGAAGCGATCAGAGTCTGTAGATCACGGGTGTCAAACTGGTGGCCCCTCCAGCTGTTGCCAAACCACAAGTCCCATGAGGCATTGCAAGAGTGACAGTTACAAGCATGACTCCCACAGGCAGAGGCATGATGGGACTAGTAGTTTGGGGACAGCCGGAGGGCCGCCAGTTTGATACCCGTGCCGTAGAGTCTCTCATCGCCTCTGTGAGCAGCCGGCTGTACCATCGGATTGTTTCTTGGGAGCACAATTTTTAATGGTGTGCCTGAGAAACACCGGCGATCGGCGGGAGGGGGAGGGGCTGTATGAAGCGGAAGCCTATCAGCAACCATTCAGAGCCAGGACCTGCTGATCGGCTATGTCCAATCACAGCCCAGAGCCCTGTGGTCATCAAGTGGTCAATACAGGTATAGAGCGCCAACAATATACTCAGCGCTTTCCATACTACACATCATTCCCATAAGTCCCTCCCCCGAGGAGCTTCCAATCTGAGTTCCCTATCTCATACACATAATGAGGAGCCAATCACTTACCTGCGTGTCTATGGAGCGTGGAAGGAAACCTATGCAAACTCCATGCAGGTAGTGCCCTGGGCCAAATCCCAGCCAAACACCCCATTGCTGCCAGGCAGGAGTGCTAACCACTGAGCCACTCAAATCAAACAGACTATTCTCTCTCCAGGTTCAACTTTTTTTTTTTTCATGCAGAACAGAAAAATGCTTCATTATGGCCGTGAGATGACGCTGATGATCACAAAAAATAAAGACTCATTTCCTAGGATCATCAGCGCCAGCTAGTGGCCATAGTGCAGTATTTTCCCGATTCACGCTATCATAAATATTTGACCTGGAGAGAAAACAGCCCATGAATATTCGCACAGGAGGAGTGCGCACCCAGCCCCACAGATGAGTAGCATGTTTTATAAATACGCCCCACGTGTCTGTGTGCCTGTGTGGGGGGGGGGGCATCGGACTGTTAGTTTGTTGGGGTCAGGGATCGATGAGTGGGATGAGGGTCCGAGGGTCGATGTCATGTGATCATTTACACGTCGTTTTTTTTACGACAACAAAGTCCACGCAGCCGATTAAATGGTCTGTTAAATGCAAAGTGCCAGGATGAACTGGACTGTAACGGGGACACATTCCGACCTTGGGCCCTCAGTCCCCCCCCCCCCCCGGGGGCCACACACCCCTTCGTTCCTGACCCCAGATCAACAAAACAGGAAGTTATCCCGTCATACAGAGAGGAAGATATTTGGCAGATAGATTCTGACCGGCATGCAAGGCTGAGGAAACGTCTACAGAGACCCAGTCATGTCCAGCATTGGAGTCACTTAAAGGAATAGTCCAACATGGGTGTATTTATGTTTTGCACACATTGGACTATTCCTTTAAGTAACTCCTTGTAACACTTTTGTATCTCTATCTCCCGTCTGATCGATGTTTATAAACAATGTTACTTTGTATCTCTATCTCCCGTCTGATCGATGTTTATAAACAATGTTACTTTGTATCTCTCTATCTCCCGTCTGATCGATGTTTATAAACAATGTTACTTTGTATCTCTCTATCTCCCGTCTGATCGATGTTTATAAACAATGTTACTTTGTATCTCTCTATCTCCTGTCTGATCGATGTTTATAAACAATGTTACTTTGTATCTCTGTATCTCCAGTCTGATCGATGTTTATAAACAATGTTACTTTGTATCTCTCCATCTCCCGTCTGATCGATGTTTATAAACAATGTTACTTTGTATCTCTGTATCTCCAGTCTGATCGATGTTTATAAACAATGTTACTTTGTATCTCTCCATCTCCCGTCTGATCGATGTTTATAAACAATGTTACTTTGTATCTCTCTATCTCCCGTCTGATCGATGTTTATAAACATTGTTACTTTGTATCTCTCTATCTCCCGTCTGATCGATGTTTATAAACAATGTTACTTTGTATCTCTCCATCTCCCGTCTGATCGATGTTTATAAACAATGTTACTTTGTATCTCTCTATCTCCCGTCTGATCGATGTTTATAAACAATGTTACTTTGTATCTCTCTATCTCCCGTCTGATCGATGTTTATAAACAATGTTACTTTGTATCTCTCTATCTCCCGTCTGATCGATGTTTATAAACATTGTTACTTTGTATCTCTCTATCTCCCGTCTGATCGATGTTTATAAACAATGTTACTTTGTATCTCTCTATCTCCCATCTGATCGATGTTTATAAACATTGTTACTTTGTATCTCTCTATCTCCCGTCTGATCGATGTTTATAAACAATGTTACTTTGTTTCTCTCTATCTTCCGTCTGATCGATGTTTATAAACAATGTTACTTTGTATCTCTCCATCCCCCGTCTGATCGATGTTTATAAACAATGTTACTTTGTATCTCTATCTCCCGTCTCATCAATGTTTATAAACAATGTTACTTTGTTTCTCTCTATCTCCCGTCTGATCGATGTTTATAAACAATGTTACTTTTGTATCTCTCTATCTCCCATCTGATCGATGTTTATAAACAATGTTACTTTGTATCTCTCTATCTCCCGTCTGATCGATGTTTATAAACAATGTTACTTTGTATCTCTCTATCTCCCGTCTGATGGATGTTTATAAACAATGTTACTTTGTATCTCTCTATCTCCCGTCTGATCGATGTTTATAAACAATGTTACTTTGTATCTCTCTATCTCCCATCTGATCGATGTTTATAAACAATGTTACTTTGTATCTCTCTATCTCCCATCTGATCGATGTTTATAAACAATGTTACTTTGTATCTCTCTATCTCCCGTCTGATCGATTTTTGTAAACAATGTTACTTTGTATCTCTCTATCTCCCATCTGATCGATGTTTATAAACAATGTTACTTTGTATCTCTATCTCCCGTCTGATCGATGTTTATAAACAATGTTACTTTGTATCTCTCTATCTCCTGTCTCATCGATGTTTATAAACAATGTTACTTTGTATCTCTCTATCTCCCGTCTGATCGATGTTTATAAACAATGTTACTTTGTATCTCTCTATCTCCCGTCTGATCGATGTTTATAAACAATGTTACTTTGTATCTCTCCATCCCCCGTCTGATCGATGTTTATAAACAATGTTACTTTGTATCTCTCCATCTCCCGTCTGATCGATGTTTATAAACAATGTTACTTTGTATCTCTCCATCTCCCGTCTGATCGATGTTTATAAACAATGTTACTTTATCTCTATCTCCAGAAGGATGGCACCATCTTTGTTCAGGCATCATCCAGGGGTCCAGGGTCGCCCTTTACTTCCAGAACTGAGATTGACTCAGAAATGACACCATCATGTAAATCCTGGTGCCTGTGCACTTCTTGGCTTTGTTCCCAAATGTTTGACCCAGATCAAAGCCTCTCACCTTGTGACTTGATGCAATGAGCAGTCTGATCGCTGGGGGAGGAGGCTGAGGAAATGACTCCTCCTCTTTCTACAAAGTTACAATGTACAGTCTGATCACTGGGGGAGGGGAGACAGAGGAAATGCCTCCTCCTCCTTCTACAAAGTTACAATGTACAGTCTGATCACTGGGGGAGGGGAGACAGAGGAAATGCCTCCTCCTCCTTCTACAAAGTTACAATGTACAGTCTGATCACTGGGGGAGGGGAGACTGAGGAAATGCCTCCTCCTCCTTCTACAAAGTTACAATGTATAGTCTGATCACTGGGGGGGGGGAGACTGAGGAAATGCCTCCTCCTCCTTCTACAAAGTTACAATGTACAGGCTGATCACTGGGGGAGGGAAGACTGAGGAAATGACTCCTCCTCCTTCTACAAAGTTACAATGTACAGTCTGATCACTGGGGGGAGGGGAGACTGAGGAAATGACTCCTCCTCCTTCTACAAAGTTACAATGTACAGTCTGATCGTCTGATCACTGGGGGAGGGGAGACTGAGGAAATGACCCCCTCCTCCTTCTACAAAGTTACAATGTACAGTGTGATCGCCGGGGGAGGGGAGACTGAGGAAATGA